CTTGTAGTTAATATATAAGATAATAAAATTTATAAAAATAACATTATAATGACTCAATAATAATAAATAAACATTAATAACAATAAGAGCTATGAGCCAGATTTCAATATATTTACATTTTTGAACAGACGTTTCGACTTTATCGTCAGGTCATCCTCAGTGTATACAATGTAGAAAAATTAAACGCAAAATTAATAAAAATCATAAAACGATTAGATATAAATTTTTATAAATTTTACGTTTAATTTTTCTACATTGTATACACTGAGGATGACGAAATGTCTGTTCAAAAAATTAAATATATTGAAATCTGGCTCACAGCTCTTATTGTTATTAATGTTTATTTAATAAAATTTATGATCAAGACTGTGTGTACAATTAGAAAGATTGTTTAACATTTGAAAGAGAATTTCATAGTAAATTCAGTCACTTGCAATAATGCATACTAAAAGCTGCTATACATGAAATTGTCAAAGTTAATGTAAAAGCATAATGAATATTTTAAACCATCAAATGGCATTGTCACATTATTTAACACAATATACATGTATTGTTTCAAAGTTCATTATATTACATATCAATATTACACTACTATATTTATAGATACTTTATATTTAGGTACAAGCAACTTTAATGTATACTGATCAGTATAGTGCGAGTGACTGAATTCATTCACCATCAGATTGTAAAGTACCCGAATTTTCTCATGAAGAGCCAAGCGCGGTCAAGATAACCGCCTCTGCAGCCTTGTTGTCCTCTGTTGTTGCAAGAGAGCAGATGCTGGGCACTCAGCTCTACGTCCTCGGCACCTTTGCTCATGATCGAGAACCTATCGGTCGCAACGTCGGCCGTAGATATGGCCCAGGACGCGCCGCACCATCCTTGATCATGAACGCTGGATATGTCGCGTGACCAGCGCGTCCTGGAGTCAAACTCCCGCGGCAGTGCATCGGGATCGTAAATGCGTCGCACCGGGTTCATTTTGTACACCTACGCGAAAGAAAGCAGTCAAAGAAAGCATCATTGAACGAAACGTATACTTTCAGAATACACATTGAATAAATAAATATATTTAAAAAAATCTCCTCAAGCCAGCCTGTTGTCGAATCAAAATCTATCAAGATCTATTTTATACTTGTAGTTGAGTTGTAGTTAATATATAAAATAATAGAATCTGATAAAGCTTATGTACAAATTAAGCGAGCTTTAAGCGAAACGACCCTGGGGCCTCTTTGATCGCGTGTTCCATTTACCTGCATGCACATTGACGAATCTCATTTACGATCGAGGAAAAGATATTCGCGTCCTCGGGCAATGAGTTCAGGCATTTCGGAGGACTAAAAGACGCTGTAAGCAACGTCGTTGGGCGCTTTCTTATTCATAAGAGCCCCGCAGCGAAGTACTAAAGATTGCTTTAGAATTTTAACTTTGGTTGCACAAGTCGAAGCAATTGACCTAATCTTACGTGGTAGTATTGCGTCTACAGATAGCCACGTGTTAAGGTTGCCTTATTTTGAATTCATCGAGTATAAAGAGTTTCGTGCAAGTCCGCTGTATAAAAACTTTTCGTTCCGACAGCGATTTTTAAATTTGTCTTCTTGAATAATTGATTGTCGCCTTTAAATGTATATTGCTGTGATCAAGATGTTACAAAGATTCACTATCGCGAAAAGTATTCCGTAAATGTCTCGCGATAATTTTCCTCGGACAGACTTTTGATTACTTAAACCCGATCTCAGTAATGATTCTCAGTCAGAAATGACAATGGAATCGACATCGAAATCATCTAATTCGACGTCGATTCGATATCAATTTCATCGTAATTTCTCACTGGGTTCTAAAACACTTACGGATTGTGAGGGATTGAGAGTGCCCAGACGAAGCTCCACACCTTCCCGAAGTGTCCTTCCCCAGAATTCGGAATAATTGCTCGCTTGCCAACCTAGAGTTGGTCCTTGCAAATTGAGCTCCTCCATCAACTCCGGCTCGATCAAACAGCGATTCTCCTCGCAGAGCACTTCGGCGCGCTTGCCAAGCGAGGAGCATTTACTACAATGTAAAACTTACAGAATTCGTACGTATACTTTTTCTCGTTTATTTATATTAAAAATGGAAGAGAAGATATTACCATGTGTTACAATTGACTTTCAACGTTTGCCCGTGATAGTATTCTTTTCCTTGGAAAAAGCATACTGAAACAACGCACAAAACTTCAAAAACACAAACTTAACGTATCAATAAAAAATATGAACAGTCACGTTCAAAATCCATCATTGTAAACAATTTCAATTATGTAATTTCAATGCTTGAGACTTATTTTCTTCAAATGCAAGGTAAGTCTGATTACACAAATACATTACATAAATTATAGTAGATTATATAAATTTTTATATACGTTTAAATCTCATTTTTATAATTGTATTTTACATATACGAACTCCTTAGCTCCTCGGGTGCCGATGTGGTGGTCGGCAGTCCTCTGCAATGGTACCAGTAATCTGGACAGCAGTCTTCTTCGCGAGTTCGATTGCAAAAATCGTCGCAGTAGCACAACGTCTTGAGGATCGGCGCGCTGCATTCATCCTGTCGTCCTGGGCAGCAACTGCCTTCAGGATACCTCGAGGCACAATACGGTCCCGGTGGCAATCCAGAATAATCTGGGATGCCTCTCACGACGGAGGGTAAGAACACAAAGGCAATGAATACTAAATTTTGGCAGTGTGCGGTCCACATCCTGAAAGGGAATGTCAAACTTCTTATTTTATAATGAATACGACATTTTTTACTAAAATCTTTGTATGTTTTCTTCTTTTACTATTTATTCTAATTTCTATGTATTTTGTTTTAATTTCACGACGTATTCTTATCTAATCTTATCTTTCAAATAGTTTAATTTACTCTATGAAACTTCTAAGTCCTTCCGATAACTTCGCGCAACTTCGAGAGACACCAATGTCGCATAACCAGGTGTGCTCAAGCGGTATGTAGAGTTCGGTAACAACTGGCAGTTGACAACAATAACGTTGCCAAGAGTTTGCAATGTTGGGGCCGGCCGCGAGACGCGTCATCCCGTCTGCTTTGGAACGACTTCAAGGTGTTGGCAGCTTAAATGCCGCATGATTCGTCATGAAATATTCTAGAGAGAATGATGGAAGTCTTTCTAGACTTGTGCAATGTCCCCACGTATAGCATTCTATCGAACAAATCGTTAATCTCTCTCTTTGACTTCTAATTCTTTTATCTGAGAAATCTGTTTTACAACTGTTTTTTATAGCTTTTTTATAGATTTTATACCTATAAAAATTTATAGCTCTCACTTTAGAAGTTTGTTTTTTATAACTGAACTTAGTATATACTTTTTGTACTTAAAGTGAAATAGATATATGTTTGAAGTTTGACAAAAGGGGAGAGTAATTACGTTCTAGTCCAATCTAGTGCAGCAATAAAAAACAAACCTTAGAAATCGAGTTGAGTTAGAGTACGAAGTTGCGAGAATTTAATTTAGACGATATTCCGCGTTGTATAGTATATAAATAATGATTTGAAGATTTCCTAGATATGTATCTTTGTTCTCTCTCTTTTAAGACCAACTTCTGCGATGTTTAACCCTTGGATATTTATTATCTTCTTTGTCAATCTTATTAAAAATTAATTTTATTAAAAATTGTTCATTCACAGATTAAAGATATAGTTAGAAAATAGTTAAAAATAACATCTGGAAACTTAATTAATTTTTATATTATAACAATAAAAAAGATTTAAATTTAACTCTATTCCCTTTATAATCAATCTCTGTCAATAAGACAAATATACATCGAGAAATTTAATAATTTATGATTAGATTGAAACAATTCGTTCGTTGATGGCGATTCAACTATTTTCATCGCGGCAACGAGCTTAATCAGTTACTCGCACGATCGGTCCATGCGATCGTCTATTACGGATCATGTAACTCTGAAACGAGTGTCACCCGAATCAGCTGCATTATAATATTGATGAAATTTACCAGACTGGAACGAGAATTGTGATTTCAGCTTCCTGAGTTCGGACAAGCGCACGCGCTTGCGTAACGATACCGATTTTCCAGCCGATGGTACTTAATTAAATTTAAATACGTACATGCACTTCTCTATAGGATCCAAATCAGACACACAGATACACACACAAATAGCAGAATTACACTTTTTAGGAGCAAATATTTTTGATAAAAAGAAATAGGCACAATATTTGCGTGTTGATGAACAAACTGCTTTTGACTTCAACTATCACATCTTATTAAACAAACTTTTTACGGAATAGATGGTTTTGTAGAAATATCTAAAAATCTAGCTAGATACAGATCTAAAAATAATTTTATTGAATCATCAAAATAATCACAGAATGCTCAAACTGGTTACTAAAATGTCAAAACTTTTTGCAGGATCGCTCATCATGCTTACTCTGTAAATTCTTTGGAGTGGAATCTCACTCTGAAGAGAACATTGAGCTAGTCTTTAAAAAGAATTGTTTAATTATATTGAGATTTTACTCTTCAGAGTGAACATTTCACTCTAGAAGTTTTAGAAAGTAAGTTTTCTACGGAATTATTTTAACGGTCCAACAAAATTATTCCCAGATCTGTATCTAGTTAAATTTTTTAGGTACTTCAGCAATAATCATTCTTTTTTTTTTGTACTCTTAATATATATATTAATATTAAAGAAAAATTAATTAGAAATTAGTTGAAGAGTCACAGTTCGCGAAAATTTACATAATCCGTATAACATTCTTATAATACATGAAGCGCAAAATTATTCTACTCAACGATGCGTACTCCAATGTGCTTCTCGTTCTACATGCTTCCGAGAACTGCATCGGCAGCTGCTTCTATGCACGTATAGACGAAGGATCAAGTGTCCCCGATCGTGTGTACTCTTCGCGAAGAGCGCCTTCATTGAGAAACGGGCAATTAATGCAAATAATCTGTCGTCGCGCGGGAACTCATAAGTGGGTCGTTCGTTTGACCCGTCTTTCTCCGACACGCCACAAAGTGTCCTCAAAGTCATCTTCGCGCGCCATCGACGCAATAAACGGTAATTTACGCACAAATGACAAATCCAAATAAAAAAATAAAAAATATCAGAGAGCTCGTAATCTCCAGGTCCGTGACCCCGCCCCCTTGCCCGGCAAGAAGAAGAAATAATATTAATTAGTGTAAGGACAAAAGCAAACAGAAGATCGTAAAACTCTAGTTAAGAACCCGCGAGTTGAATGAAAGAATAATGGGCGCAACGGTGCGTCTACGAGACCGCTGACCAATGACATCAGCGTCGCGCCCTACGAAGGTCATAATAAGGACATCTTCGGACGATAGACGAAAGAATGTTAATTAAAAACGGAGTCTAAATTAAATGGGCTTGCGACCGACAAACAACCCTGAGATGTATCACCGACTCCCGAGTTATAAAAAAAAAATAAGTAAATTAGAGAACAGAAGACTCGATAGGGCTTTGTTTGGTGAATTTATAAATCACCGATATCTGCATGTGGAATCTCAGAGAATTGAATTTGCATTTTGAGGTCCTTCTCCCGCGCAAACGTGCGGGGCCTATATTTGTTTGGAGTGCATGTGAAAAGAATAATTTATACGAGCGACTTTGTTGAAATATTTAAAAGAAAATAATTTTATTGAGCTAAAATAATTATATAGGAATCTGAAGCATGCTGAACAAGTTACATAAAAATTTGACATTCTAGCAACTTTGAGCGTCCTACGTAATTATTTTGATGAACAGAATTTTCAGATCTGAATCTAGCCAAATTTTTAGATATTTTAGTAAAATTATCCTTTCTGTGCATCTCTGATCGTTTGAACGTTGATATGATAAACAAACACGAGGAAATATAAGATCTGTTTTCTATAACTGAACTAGTATACACACCTTTGGAACTTCAAATGAAATAAGTATACGTTTGATATTTATTGAAAATGGGAAAGAAAATTCTGGTGCAGTCTAATGCAGCAATAAAAGAACAGAGCTATGGAGAGAACAATTTTGTTAAAGCATTTAAAAATTTAGCTAGATACAAATCTAAAAATAATTATGTTGAGCTGTCAAAATAACAATGTAGAAAACTCAAGCATGATAACATCCTACCAAAAAAGTCTAGTAATCAACTTGAATGTCATACATAATTATTTTGATAGGTCAACAGAATTATTTTTAGCTTTGTATCTAATTAAATTTTTAAATACTACAAAACCATCCTTTCCATGTAGAATTATATCGCGCGCGCCGCGCTACCATTGTCGTATTCATTGATACGCAAATTTGTCACTCGCGATGAAGTGATAATAACAGAAGTCGGTCATCTACGGCCTCCAGGAGGAACGACCGAAGGAACGATGGAAGTTCAATAATAGAAAGAAAATCAATAATAAGTTGTAAAGTGAAATGCAAGTGGCCTTTGTGCGCGAGTCATCTGCTCAAGAACTGAACTCACGGATTCTGGACGTGGTCCAAAGTTACATTATTCGCGAATTTGATACATTTCGCGATAACGGGAGAGTCGAGTCACCGGACGCGTTGTTAGGTAACTATAACATTTTGCTGCGTGAATGCGTTGGCATGCACCGCGACAGTTGTTTAATTTCGGTGCACTTGAAATAGCACGTTGAAAGTTCTCCGCTATTTTCGTTTTATCGCAATTAGGGCCTCTCACGCTTTGACCATGGCACGAGGCTCCAACGAGCTGAAATTGCTAGAATGTTAAGTTACAACAATACAAACTTAGTCGAACAACCAGCGAGTAAGTAAAATCGATGAGAATGCTAATTCTCTGAATGCTAATTAATGTAAGTGAAGTTGACACACTGACGGAGACAGACAGTTCATTTAACCAACCGGAGACTGGCGCGACTCCAGAAGTATTTCTAAGGTTACCAAGGTTAAGATACATGGCTGTTCTAGGACCTCCAAATCAATGGGCCTACTTTAAAGTCAGTCTTGAAAATAGTCAATTTAAAGTCCCTTTGCCACAGGGAAGATCGCAGATTGTATATTTTTATTAGCTCCCTCTTTCTCTCCTCCGGCATCTCATAAATTCCCTTCACCAAGGGTCAGATTAGCTTATAACTTATGAGAGAAACAGTATCTCCCCGTTTTTTATATTGACTGTCTTCGAAATATGTTCGATTAATTGCTAGCTTATGAGTAAAAACAATCCCATTTTAATTCAAAATAAACTTTACTTTTTGATATATTAGATATTTTCAAATAAGAAAAAATAATTCTATTATTGGTCGAAGCGGATCTTGGTGCACAATAGCGTTCATATGCAAATTTGCAAATACATTTTTCAGTTCCATGAACTGCTCGCCGAATCGGCTTATCGGATTTGAAACGCAATCATAAATTGAGGTCAGAAATAGCATCACAAATTACAATGATCGTCAATTTTTAATAATAATGCTAATAAGCACTATTACAATATTGAAGTACAGAATTTAAAAATGTATTTGTAAATTTGAATAAACACCAAAATTTGCTTTGATTGAAAATAGGATATCATTTAATTTATTCTTATCGATCTAATTTCAACTTAAAATTATTAGATATTTTCATTATTCAGTCAAAAAAATTTGTCCATTTTTTATCATGTATAAAAATCTATATAAAACAGAATAACTTTATCTCGATCAAACGATCAGTATATACTTTATGAAGCTATCATCCATTTGATTGATTCTGAACCATCGCGCAAGCATTGCCGATCAATCGTAATTTTTTCTTCGGCCCAGGCCAATTTCGTTACCACCTGGCTATCATGTTGCGCTCGTAAAAATCGAGTTTTAGGGCATATTAGTAGGTAACGCGAAATATTAACCACTCATTTATTAGCTATTATCATTCATCACTGCATAACAAAGTGTTCTTGACTCTTTTAGCCCCATTAACAGTAAATTCATATTGCAACCGCGATTTGATCCTATCCGCCTACAACGGTTAGATGTCTGCACGATCGTTAATTATTCGTGCGAAACTCCTTTGTGTCTGAATTGCGCTTCGTGTCTAACGCGGTTTGTACC